CGGTCAATCAGGAGCAGAATTTTGGAAACTTCTCGACTTGTTACCATTTTATACTGTTGTTTACTCTTATCTCCGATTAAAAGTTGCTTCAGAAACTTGGGGGTGACGTCTTTCGGACCGAGCTTGGAAGAACAGGGAAGAGGTGAGGGACCAGTGGAAGGTGCCCCTCTGCCCATGGAACTGGGTGATATTGAAGGTCCCTCCCAACCCCAGCGCAGCCTGTGATTGATTCCCTGCTTTGGGGGGGACACCACAAACACAGCACCACAGCTGGCTGCTTTTCACCCGGGTTTTATTGAGCTCCCACCTCCTTCCCCATCCCAGGAGGGGGCAACAGGGTGGGTCTTGCTGCCCCCCCCCCCGGTCAGTCCCAGTCCCAGCTGAAGGTCTCAGGGCTGGGCATGGAGCTGGTCCCAGTCCCAGGCCAGGCTCAGTTCATGGGACCAGTCCCAGGCCAGGTTCAGCTCCTGGGGCCGATCCCAGTCCCGGGCATGGGGCCGGTCCCAGGCTGGTCCCAGCTCCCAGGGCTGGGTGTGAGGCCGCTCCCAGCTCCCAGTGCCGCTGCAGGCTCAGCTCTGGGGGCCAGGCTCGCTCTCCTGGCGCTCCCGGCGCCGCTGGAGCAGGCGGTGGACGCGGACGCTGCACAGGTACCCCCCGTAGAGCGTCAGCAGCATCATGGAGCCCGAGAACGCCTTGTAGCCAAAGTCTGCCAGCTGCTTGCCTGACACCATGGCCGTGCCTGCAGGGGAACCACAGCGTCACAGAGCCCCCAGGGACCTCCAGAGACCGCCCAGGCCCAGCCCCTGCCCGGGCAGGGTCACCCCGAGCAGGTAACACGGGGAAACATCCAGGGGGGTTTGGGATGGCTCCAGAGGAGGGGGGTCTCCAAGCCCTCCCTGGGCAGCTGTTCCAGTGCTCTGCCACCCTCCAAGGGAAGTTCTTCCTCGTGTGGAGGTGGAACTTCCCGTATTTTGGTTTATAGCCACTGCTCCTCGTCCTGTGGCTGAGCACCACTGGGAACAGCCTGGCACCATCCTGACACTTGGGAAATATTTATACACATTGATGAGTTCCCCTCTCAGTCCTCTCTTCTCCAGACTAACCAAGCCCAGCTCCCTCAGTCTTTCCTCTCCGGAGGAGCCCAGAACTGGACATGGCACTCCAGGGCTGAGCAGAGGGGCAGGATCCCCTTCCTGGCCTGCTGGCAACGCTCTTCCCGATGCACCCCAGGATCCCACTGTCCTTCCTGGCCCCGGGTCACACTGCTGGCTCACTGTCACCTTGACCCCCGTGTCCACCCCCAGCCCGTGCCGGTGCTTTGGGGCTGCTCCTCCGCCGGGTGCAGGACCCGGCAGGTGCCCTTGCTGGAACCTCACTGGGTTATCCTAACGAATTCTAACACCTCCCTCCGCCCAGTTCTCCAAGCTTCAGGTGGATCAGCCGCTCCCGGTCCCGCATCGTCCCCAAAGGCCCGCTCAGGTCGGTGACCGACACCCTTCTCGTCTCATCCCGTCCCTCCGTGTCCCGTCCCGTCCCGTCCCGTCCCATCCCATCCCATCCCATCCCATCCCATCCCATCCCGTCCCCTCCGGACTCACACGCGCTCGCGCTCCCGTTCCGCGTCACGTGCCCCCGCCGCTGTCACGTGCCCCCCCCCGCGCGCGGGAGGAGTCACGTGCCTCGACCGTCCCGCGCGGCGCGCCCGTTGGCGCCCCCTGGCGGCCCCTCCCCCTCAGCTCCCCCTCAGGCGCCGCCGCCGCCATCGCCGCCCCCCCCACCTCAGCTCCCCCCGGCGCTGCCCACACGGCTCTGCCCTGAGGGGCACGGGGAGCCCTCAGGGCACAGTCCGGGATGGAGCCGAGGCTGCCTGCCCTCCTCACCCTCACCCCGATCCCTGCAGCCTCGAGGCTTGGAGACACGGTACCATCCAGAGGGTCCCGGTGCCGTCGTGAGGGTGCCAGTGCCTTCTCAGCAAGGGCCCTGGTGCAATCCTGAGGGGCCCGGTGTTACCCCGAGGGTCCCAGTGCTTGCCCGGGAGCCCTGGTGACATCCCAAGAACCCCAGTGACGTCCTGAGGGTCTCAGTGCCTTCCCCTTGGCCCTGGTGCCTTCCCAAGGGCTCCAGTGACATCCTGAGGGTCCCGGTGTCTTCACGAGGGTCCAGTGCCATCCCAGTGATCCCAGTGCCATCCCAGTGCCATCCCAGTGACCCCAGTGCCATCCCAATGAATCCAGTGCCATCCCAGTGGTCCCAGTGCCATCCCAGTGACCCCAGTGCCATCCCAATGAATCCAGTGCCATCCCAGTGATCCCAGTGCCATCCCAGTGATCCCAGTGCCATCCCAGTGAATCCAGTGCCATCCCAATGAATCCAGTGCCATCCCAGTGACCCCAGTGCCATCCCAGTGATCCCAGTGCCATCCCAATGACCCCAGTGCCATCCCAATGACCGCAGTGCCATCCCAATGATCCTACTGCCATCCCAATGACCCCAGTGTTCTCCCAAGGGTCCCGGTGCCTGCCCAGGGTCCCCGATGTGCCCCCAGCCCGGAGCCTCCTTCCCCCAAAACCCCCCAAACTCCCCTCCCGCAGCTCCTTCCCAGCGTTTGAACTCCGCTGTGCCAGCCCTGCTCCGTCCAGGGCTCCCTGGAGCTCCGAGGCCGCCACAAGTCACCCTGTCCCCCCTCTCCTCATCCTTCCCAGCTCCCGGGATGTGCTGAGCCTGCAGAACATAATTCCAAATGGCAAAGGGAAGAACTTTTTATAGCTCAGGAACTCCCAGCTCCAGCGTGGGGGTGTCTGGTCCCCCCAGGTGAGGCTCGGGAGCAAAGGCTCTGCGAGGACTCTGGCACTGGCAGAGAAACCCACATGAGGGGGATGCAGAAAGCATTTCCACCTCCGAGGAGCTCCCGGCTAAACGCAAATCCCTGCTGGATCCTGCCGCGGCTCCAGGCAGGGGCTGACAGGAGTTTGGGAGCAGAGCTCGGGGATCCTTTCCTGCACGAGCCTCATGTCCAAACACTCGGGCTCCTGAAAGCTCTCGAAGACAAAGGGAACTACAAGTCGTGCCAGCCCTGCAGGAACACGCTGGACTTCCTTTATCCTCCCTCCAAGCTCAATTAAGCTCCTCGGAGCTCCCTCCCCACGACAGCTCCGCCGAATTTAAAGGTCGCGGAGCGCCTGGTGAGCAAACGTGGCTAATAAAAGGCACAGAAACGAGCGCAGTGCCAGCAGATTAAATTCCCCTCGCAAGACGCCGAGCGCAGGGCTCGGAGCCCTGCAAAGGTCACTCGGTACGAGGCACCTTTAGAGACGCTCAGGGCTGAGGCGAGTCTGGGCAGAGCAGCTGGGAAGAGATGAATAAAAACCCCACGGCGTGGGAAGCCAAGATATCAGAGGAGGGGAGGCCCAGAGCGTGAGGGGCACAGTGGGGTCCTGGCCGGGCTCCTGCAGGCCCCAGGTGAGGACTCTGGACCCGGCTCAACGCCCGACCCGCCGCGGCCCCGCGGCCAAACTTTAATCCTGGAACCGCTGCCGAGACAAAGCAAGTGGGACACTGTGTGACATAAACAGGGACCTGCAGGGACATTCTTGCTGTTTCTGGGGCAGCACGGGAGGGTGCAGAGCGAGGAGGGAACGGGCAGTGCCCTGTTCCGTCCAGCAGGCACCAGCCCAGCGGCAGCGATGCACCGGAGCCGCAGAACGGGGGGAGCATCTCCTCTCTCCTGTCGTTTTAAAAGCACCAGTGCTTGTCAGAGACCCCACAGCTCTGGGAATGGAGGGCACGGGGAGCCCTGCAGCATTCCAGAATCCCAGCGTTCCAGCCCAGGCAGGATCAGTGACCGCTGGACACGCCGGCCTTGAGCAAACACGGCCGGCTCCAGAGGAGCAGAGGGACACGTGGCACCTGCCTGGACAAGGGGCAGGTTTCACAGGCCCTGTCCTGTCCTGTCCCTGTCGTGGACCACGTGCCCGTTCCTGCCCCTGTGCCAGCAGGCAGTTTGCAGCATCCCCACGCAGGGAAAGCGTGGGACCTGCTCCTCAGCTCCAGGGCAGTCACACGAGGAAGAACAGAGCAGGCTGAAGCACAGGCTGAAGAGAGCCAGAGAGGGCAAAGTGTGGCTGTGGGTCATTTATTTAACAGCAACAGGACCCAGGTGCCCTGTACCCGCCCCCTGGCTCTGCAGGTACAAGGCAGGGGTCACAAAGGCTTGGGGTCAGTTGGTCCCTGCAGTGCCAAGCCCCAGAGGACAAACTGGGACAGGGAGAGAAGCCAGTGGGCGTGGAATTAGCCCAGGCAAACCTGTGACAACGGGGGAGTTCCCTGGGGCAGGGGCCAGGTGTAACTGCGAGAGCAAAAGCTCTGAACAAACAAGCTCCAGAGTGTCCCTCTGGAGCAGGGGGGCAGCAGGAGCAGCTGGGGATGGCTCGGGGAGCAGCACATGGCAGGGTGGAAGGAAGGCCATGTCTGTGCTGGTGCTGCTCACGAAGAAGATTCTCAGCACTCTCTGGGAGTGCTGAGGGGGCTTCACTCAGCAGGTAGAGCCTGGCAGGGGACCGTGCCCTCTCCACCAGGCAGGGAAGCCAAAAATAGCAGCAGCAGCAGGCAGGGAAGGGCTGGAGTCACCCAGAGTGGCCCCACGGGGCTGAGAGGGAGGACTTGGGGCACTGTTTGTCCTCCCAGCCCATATCAATCCCAACAGAGTCCTTCCCAGCGCTGAATCCATCCCAGCAGGAGGGAGTGGAAGGAGGAAGATGCTCCGTCCCGCTCAGGGCAGACCTCAGAGAGCAGCAGAAACTGAACGAGCCCTTCACAGAGAGAGGATGCTCAGCAGGCACCTCTGTGCCAGGCTCAGGCTGGCAGTGCCCAGGGCTGGGGAGGGGAACCTCTGCCCTTCCAGCAGCCTGCCAAGGCTCCCAGGAGAGCCGGACTCCGTAGGAAGCCGTGGCAGCAGATGGGGGTGCCGTGGGCAGGAGCTCTCTGCGCGTCTCAGCAGGGCCGGTGGTGGCCTGGCAGGCAGAGCCCCTTACATGTGCTCAGGGTGGTTCTGGAGGCACTTGATGAAGTCAGTGACAGGCCTGCCCTCGTAGCAGATCTGATACACAGCGGTGAAGAGGGGGAACCTGCGGGCAGAGGGACAATGACACCGCAGCTGGCAGGGTCAGAGCAGCTCGACTGCTGCCGTGACAAGCAGGAGCAGGTGGGGCAGTGGCACTGGGCCCCATCCAGCAGGAATCCTGCCCAGCTGGTGTGATGTGGGCAGTGCACGGATCGCCCTGAACAGCTGAGACACCCAAGGGGGGGTTTCCCCTGCTGCTGCAGGACGGGGCTGCAGCCCCACCCCAACCCCAGCAGATTGCATCACTCACTTCTCCACTGCGTTCTTGCTCTTGAGGATCCGATGCAGCTCAGCAGACGTCTGGGGGCCCTGCAGCTTCTGCCCATTCAGCATCTCCTGCTCCAGCTGCTCGATGGACTGAAACAACCCAGCAGTGAGGAGCTGGGCCTGCAACCTCAACAATCCCACCCTGTCCCTCGGGGCGTTGTCCAAACCCTCCCGGAGCTCTGGCAGGCCTGGTGCTGTGCCCACTGCCCTGGGGAGCCTGGTCAGTGCCCGACCACCCTCTGGGGAAGAACCTTTTCCTGATATCCAGCCTAACCATCCCCTGGCACAGCTCCACACCCCCCCTCACCCCTCAACTCCCAGCCCCGCTCACCTTGCCCGTCTTGGCGAAAGCCTCGGCCACCTTGCGGTTGCGGCCCCCGTAGCAGGTGGTGATGAGATCGGCGACCCCACAGCTCTCCAGGAAGGTGGAGGAGGTGACGGGGCCCTTGCAGAAGAGTTTGGCAAAGCCAATCATCTCCATCAGCCCCAGGCGGATCACGGCAGCCTTGGTGTTGTCGCCGTAGCCCAGCCCGTCACAGAAACCAGCTCCCACGGCCACCACGTTCTGGAAAACCACGGGAGCGTGGAGGGGTCTGTTCCCAGCGGAGCTCAGGGCTTCGCTGCGCCCACGATTCGTCTCGTGTGGGATCCTGAGCCACAGTGCCCATCATCCCTCCAGGCAGCTGAACAGGACAGGTCCCTCCAAAGTCTGGCCTTCGCCCCAGAGGTCTCAGCGAGCCACAGTGGGGTCCAATCACCCGTCAGCCTCCTCCCCAGAGCTCCCTGCAGAGCTCCTGCAGACCCCCAGGCTCTGCTGACCGAGCCCTGCACACCCACCTTGAGAGCCCCGCAGATCTCCACGGTGTCGGCTTCCTGCACCACCGACACACGGAAGTTGGGTGTCTGCATCAGCTCCTTCAGCATCTGCCCGTGCTCCATGTTCTTGCAGCCTGAGGAGACAGAGGGAGGAGGAGGAGGAGGAGGAGGAGGAGGAAGGTGGGGAGATCCCAAGGTAGGACCATGCTCTCCCCTGCAGCTCATCTGGGGAGAGGAAACTATTGCCCAACTGATGGACATTGGCTAAACATTTGCAGGTCCACAAAGAGCCAGGCACACATGGCCTGACAGATAAGCAACTTTCAGCCTTGGCACTCCCCAGGGGACAGGGACAATCCCTGCTGCTTCATCGAGCAAGACAGAAATGACCTGCCCAGTAGGTCAGAGGCATCTTCAAAGGCTGCAAATTTGGGGTTGGAGCCTGGTGGCCTCCCCGTTGCTGCGGGGGTCCCGTGTGTTCACAGGCACTGTGGGCTCTGTTCCACCTCCCCAGCCTCCTGCCCAGCGTGCTGGCTGTTGTTTAACAAAACACAGACACTTTGAATCCCACAACCTCTAACCCAGCAAGCTGTTGTGTTGGTTTTGGCTCTGTGCACGGTTCCCAACAGTGTGGAGGGTGTTGGAACAGCATCAACTTCCAGGCAGCCCTGGCTGGCAATAATGTGAGATCCAGGTGATCACCCAAGGAGATGAAGGATGGAACTTATTCCTCAAGTGCCTCATGGTGCCCACCCCTCTAATTTGTGCCAGGCGTGTTGTTAATGAAATGAGTGATCCCATCATAAACCCTGGGAATGAGCTCGATCAGCTCCCAGGGAGTCTCCTGCACTGTGCTCCCCACTTTGCCCCTCATCCCAAAGGAAGGCTGCCAGCGAGGAGGGACAAGGGCTCCTTACCAATGGTGGTTTCACAGAACTTGTCATCTGCCACCTCATTGGCAATATTGGCCCCCATGAGCACGGACATCTCTATCCCCAGCTTCTCGTGGATGATGTCCGAGATCAGCCTCAGCCCATCCGGCCCTTCGTCCACACCCTGTGAGACAAACCCGGGGACAGAGGTCACAGAACCACACAATGAATCATCGAGGCTGGAAAAGACCCCTGAGATCACTGAGTCCAACCTTTGAGTGATTACCACCCTCTCAACGAGACATGAGCCCCTCCTGGCCACCGATCCCGCCATTCCCTGTGCTGCGATGCCCCGACCGTGATCCCCACACGCTGAGCAGAGCCCTGCTCCTCACAGACCCCCCACCTGCTCTCACCCTTCCCCACCAGCACCTCCAAATCTCCACGAAGACTCTGCCCCTGCTCTCCCCACAATCCCCATCACCCCAGAGCCCGTTTCTGCTCCGAAATCCCGGGGTTCCCACAGCAGCCCCTCCGAGCCAGGCTGCTTCCAGCTCCTCCCCGCCTCGGCCCGGCTCCCACCTTGATGAGCGACATCCCCACGGCCTCTTTCTTCACGTGGCCCTTGAGCTGGTCACACACCTGGCCGATGAACTGGTGGGGCACCACGAACAGGAGCACGTCGGCCCCTGCGCAGGCTTTGAGCAGGTCTGGCTCTGCCACCTGCACGGGGGAATCGAGGCCGTTTCTCAGGGACTGGGCAGGTAAGGACGGGCCCGATGCCACCACGCTGAGGTCCCTGCCAGGGCTGGCAGGGCCCAGGGGCTGGAGAAGGGCTGAGGCAGAGCGGGACGGTGCCAGCTCGGAGGCAGCCACATGGCCCGCAGCCAAGCCCGTGGGATGCCAGAGGGGGGGACAAAGGTGGGCAGCGAGAGCAGCCAGGGCCGCAGCTCATCCAAACGCGGATCAAGGTCAGCAGGAGGGTGTAGGAGAGCCCCACACAGCCCCGGTGCATCCCCTCCCTCACACCCCAGCAGCCTCCCCCCGGGGAGCCGTCAGCTCTGCCCCCCACTCACCACGTTGGGGGGCAGTTTGCGGCCGGGCAGGTACTTGACGTTCTCGTGCTCGGTGTTGATGATGTCGGTGAGCTGCCGGCCGCCCACCTCCTCCTGCAGCACCCACATGCTCACCTGGCTCTCGAAGCCGCTCAGCCGCGCCGCGTTGGCGCCGGCGATCTTGGCGATGGCGGAGCCCCTGCGTGGGCACAGCGGGGCCGTGGGCACCGGGGGGGGGGGGGGGACAGCCCAGGGCACCGCGGCCGGTCCTGCCAGCCGGGGGTCACCGCGGGGGGACAGCAGCGGGGAGGGGGGCGAGGGGACACGCGTGCCCGGCGCTCACCAGTTGCCGGAGCCCACGACGCAAACCTTCTTGCCGCCCATGGTGCCGGGGACGAGGCGCTCGGGGAGCCCGACCCGCCGCCGCTATTTGAAGGGCGCCCGGAGCAGGGGCGGCCCCGGCCCGCCCCCGGCCCCGCCTCGCCCCGGGGGCACCGGGCACGGCCGGGGCTCCGCTCCGGGGGGCTGCGGAGGGGCCAAAGGGCGGCCCGGGAGCTGGGGCAGGTCCCTGCGGAGCCATCGGGCACCGAATCCCAGACTCACGGAATGTCCCGACTTGGAAGGGACCCACAAGGATCAGAATCCAGTCCTAAACCCTGCACAGACACCACAACAATCCCACCCTGTCCTGGAGCTCTGGCAGCCTTGGGGCTGTGCCCACTGCCCTGGGGAGCCTGTTCAGTGCCAACCACCCTCTGGGGGGAAGAACCTTTCCCTAAAACCCAACCTGACCCTGCCCTGGCACAGCTCCAGCCCTTCCCTGGGTGCTGTCCCTGCTCACAGAGAGAAGAGATCGTTGCTGTCCCTTGAGAGGAGCTGCAGACCCCGAGGAGATCTTTCAGTTGTGCCTGCCGAGCCTCTCCCTCTTTTTCTGCATAAAAGTACTTCATTCTGTCTCCCTGAAAGTGCCATTTCCCCCCAAGTAAGGGGTAAGCACCACCTGCTGCAGCCCCAGGACTTGGCTCCTGCCTCAAACACAGCCTGAGGCAGCTGCGTTTTCCTCCTCAGAGAGGAGCCTTCCCTTGCCCCAGGGGCTCCCAGGTTCGCTGCGAGGCATTTTCAGCTCTACAACCAACCAGGGCAAAGAGAAGAATTCCCCTTTTGCATCATTTTAAACCCTCGCATGTAAACTTTAATACGGTTTCCTCCAAACTCTGCCTGCCTCCCCCGGGGCCTGTAACAGGCTGCCACAGCCCAGCAGAGCGGGCACTGGGCACTGCAGGATTTATTAGCCTTGGCCACTGGATTTCCAGTTTTGCTGAGGTGACCTTGTTTACCACAGAAGCACTTTGCAAAGGCTTAGCAGAGTGTGCAAGCCGGGAGATCCCTCTGTGGAGGGCTCGCTATAAAAGGCCAAAATATGAAGAACGTTTTCTCTCCAGTCACTTAACCCAGCTGGCTTTGACAAGAAGGAAAAAAAGGAAGAAAGTGGAGATAATCCTGTCCCTTCCCTGGAGTGTCATCCCCCCATGGGGAGGGGAGCGAGCTGTCAGCACGAAGGAGGAGGGGAGAGCTTCCTTCACAGGAGTCTTTTATTAAAACTGGGTGACGCCTACAAGGATACAGTACAAAAAAAAAAAAAAAAAAAAAAAAAAAAAAAAAAAAAAAAAAAAAAAAAAAAAAAAAAAAAAAAAAAAAAAAAAAAAAAAAAAAAAAAAAAAAAAAAAAGAGATTTGGTCCATGGAAAAAAACCTTAATATTCAGTTAAGAAAAGCAGTTACTCTGCAACAGCTACGTTCGCCTACGCAGGACTCGGCATCCCTCACGTGGGGGTACCCTGAGGAGTCAGGGGCTGCTTCTCCAGCACCAAGACCTTCACCCCAGTACCACAGGGGAGCTTCAGAAGGGCAAAGGAGAGGGCAAGTCGAGAGCCTATTACTCACAGACACGTAGTTACACAGACACGAGGAGCAGTAGGGCCACCCAGGCGCTCCAGCTCACGGCAGCCCCCTCAGCCACACCACTGGGGCGGGCCGGGAGGGCTCGGCAGAAACGTGATCCTGCAGCTATCCCAAGAGTCAGACCGACTTTCAAGTCCATTTGCATTGTAGTCCCGAGCAGGAACACCGGGATTGGGGTGAAGAGGAGCCATTTCACGCTCCTAATGAATTACCACCAGTAATTCGTTCCGTGAAGAGGCATCGGGGCTGCTACTCCCCACAGCAGAGAAAAATCTATTTGTACATTCCTGAACCATGCTGGGCCCTATGGCAGCCCCGTGACCTAAAACTCGACTAAAAACCACAGGAGCTTCGGCACGGAAACACCTGCTAACTCACATATGCTTGGAAAAAATGTCCATTCCCAGGGACTGTCCCGTGCCACCCTCGGATCCACACGAAGGAGCCTCTGGTCCCCACAGCAAGCGACACAGGACAGCTGTGCCAAAGGAATGAGCCCACAGCACTGTGTGTGTCCAGGCACCATTCCAGGCAGCTGCTGCATCCCTGCTCCAGGGAAAACAAGCAGCCACGCCGGAACCCAGGTGTAGGTGTCTGAAGGGCGGAGGAGCTGCATCAATCCCAAGCTTCCAAATCCCTGCAGGAAGCCAACACCTCGCTTCCCTGTGATCCCAGCCCAGGACAGTCCGTCACAGAACGCGAAAGGGACAGACAGGGGAAAAAAAGGGAGAAGGGAAGAAGCAAATTCTCTACACAGTCCACTAACTTCCTCAGGCAGGGGAGTGAGCTGTGGGGCAGCCCAGTGCAGCAGCACCCTCTGAGGAGAGGGTCAGGGCAGGGAGGTATGTCAGCTCACGGCGTCCTGCCCACGACAGCACCTGGCACGGGCTGTAAAACGTGGCAGGGCAGAGCCCAGCCACACCTTAGAGCAGAGCCAGGCTCCCAGAGTGCCACAGCCAGGTGCTGGCTGGGGGGGAAAAGGGGCTGGGGAGGAGGCTCCAGGTCACTCTGGCTACGGGGGACGCTACGGGCAGTGGGGAGTCACAGGGGAAGCCTTGGGGCTGGCAAGGCAACAGTCAGGGAGGGAACCAGGTAGAAATGTGTGCTCGGTGGAGCCTGTCTGCTCGTCACACCCCACGAGAGCCCAGCTGTCCTGGACTTGCCCCAGCAGGGACAATGCCAGGAGGAGTTAACAGGGGGCCTGGCTGCTGGAGTGGGATCCTGTGAGCTGGAACAGCGAGCTCTGCCTCCACCAACAGCCGAGGTGCTGGGGAGGAGCGGGGCAGCCTATGTGTTCCGGATGCCCAGGGCCTGCTCCAGCTCCTGCCGCCTCTGCTGCACCTGCAAGGGAAGCAGAGTCACAGCTGTGACACACCGGGCTGGGGCAGCAGCGCAGCACCCAGCTGGGACAGGCTGAGCTCCAACTGGGACCCTCCCCTGGGAGAGGGGCCCCTGCTGGGGGACACTCACCTTGGAGTAGAAGTACCGGCACACGGCTTCCTGCGCCCACGGCTGGAAGTAGAACTCGGCTCTCCGCTCCTCCTCGGGATTCCCCACGACATCAGTCATTGTCTGCAGAGCACAAAGGACACAACTGCAGCTCAGGGAGCGCAGAAGCTCTGGCTGCGCCGAGCAAACCCTCCCCTTTCCTCTCAGAGCACGCTCGGGTCACGTTCTCGTGCTCGACTCCAATTCCAGCCTCGCTTTCCGAGCAGGAAATTGCCTCTTTCTCTCTGTGGGAGCTCACTGTAATGAGGGGAGCGTGTGACTGGATCCACCTTCCACACAAGGCACGGCTCTTACCTTCAAGTCCCGGCACTGGGACTGGAGCCAGTCGTTGATGAAGCCCTGAGGGTCTCGGGCGAAGCTCAGCATGAACTCGCGCTGCGTCTTCAGCTGGTTGATGGTCTCGATTGTTTCGTGGATCTGAAGGAGACAAACACAAGAGCTGAACTGCTGAACGGGGGAAAGGTCACAAACATCAAGAGGCACAGCACAGGAAGGCGAATTCGTGCGCTCCCTGGCTGGCTTACACCTGCCAGGACCTTCAGTTCCCAATTTCCTGCCCTAAATGTTACCCAGTTTGCTTTAAAAATTGCCCTTCCAGGTGCAGCCACCCATTTGTAAGCACAGCTCACCCCACTCCTGTCCTGTCCAGGTTCACCTGCCGCAGACACACATCCCTGCCCAGCTACAAGGAGAGCAGACCTGAAAAAGCTTTTTCCCACCTTGTTATCCAGAGCAGCAATTTCCTGCTGACTGGCTGTGGAGAGCAGAAAGGAATTCATCTGGGTTTTCAAGGTATCATCCACCTCCACATCGATGTCATAGCAGGCTGTTTTCTTCTGGTCATTTGGGTCAACGCTGGGGACATCCACAAGAAGGCAAAATCAGGGAGCAGCTCGAGGAAGGAGCCAAAGTCAGTTAGTAGGTCAAGAAAAAAAGGGCAAAATCTGGGAGCAGCTCAAATGGAAGTAGCTCAAGGAGCAAACGCAGCCCCTCTGGGATGCTGCAGCACGTGGGCTGCAGGCAGGGACAGGGACAAAGCCCTGCCAGCGTCAGCCTCAGTCCCAGCAGCAGCAAAGCTCCACTGATGGCTTTGCAGCACTAGGAGTGATCGCTCCAAGCGGGGCTCTGTCCGTGGCAAAGGACAGCAGGGATGTGGGAAAGCCTTTGGAAAAGTGGGATGAGGTAACAGAGGATGTGGTAACAGATGACTGGTAGTGTGGGACCACGTCACATCGTCCTCCTGTGGTCCCTCCCCGCCCCCCAGCCCTTCCCCTCTCCTTCCTGGGCACGGGAATTCCCGTGGAGCAGCCTCACCTGATGACGTGGTTGATGATGATGGGCTCTGGGGGCATCAGCAGCGCGTGGAGCCTCTGCGGGATCTCGGAGAACTTCATGCGCTGGGACTCAAATATCTGCGGCACAGACAGGGGGTGAGGGAGGGCTGGGGGGGTCCTCGGGGGGGCAGCTGGGCCAGGGGCTGCTCCAGGGGCCCCCTCACCTGCTGCAGGTACTTGTCACAGATGACGAACTCCCGCTCGTGGGGGTCCTGCAGCTTGTGGGTCTTGATGTACTGCCAGAGGGCCTGGATGATGACGGGCCGGGTCTGCGTGTGGATCCCCAGCAGCCGAGCCAGGCGGGGGTCCAGTTTGAACTGGGGGGGCTGCACAAGGAGCACAGGGGGGGGAGGGTGGTGAGGTGGCGCCAGGCACTGGTGCAGCCCCAGCACCGCTGCTGCTCCCAGAATGGGATCACGGAACGGTTTTGGGTCGGAAGGGACCTTAAAGCCCACCCAGTCCCACCCCTGACACCTTCCACTACACCGGGCTGCTCCAGCACTTCTGGGGATGGGGCAGCCACAGCTCCTCTGGGCAACCTCAGGGCCTCCCCAGGCTTCCAGGGAGGAATTTTCTCCCCCTGTCTCACCTGGTAATCCAGCATCAGCAGGACGGTGCAGCGCACGTTCACGTCCCCCGGCCTC